TGTCCCATAGACAACAATGTATCTCATTTTAGATCAGTAATAAATCTGCATTTTTTACTTCTGTGTGCAACAGACCTTAAAGTTGAGAGTTTACAACCACTTTAGGGCCCCTTGCACACAGACGTCATAATTTACTGATGCTTACTCGGGAACTTGTGACACCGTGTGCAAGGGGCCAAAAACTGCATGTAAAGACCCAAGTAATGTTGAGTATATAGGTGAGTAACTGTGTGTGAGCATATAGACAAGTATTCTTCTTTGCCAGTATTGTAATGTACCCGCTTATACACGTGTAAACATATAAATGAGTAAATACGCAAGTAAATTACTGCCATCAAGTGAAAAATGTTCTATTTATGTTTTACTGTTCTGTACTCAGTGCTATATTACTGATCATTACTCAGCTGTGTGCAATGTCCCCATATACAACAATGCATCTCATTTCAGATCAGTAACAAACTCCCATGTGCAACAGGCCTAAATATGGAGCCTTGGAATGGTGCAATAGATACATTAAGCAGATCATACACAAGAGGAGGAGGAAGTGAAGAGGTTAATGTACAAGGTATATATGGAAATGGAGATGAAGGGGTTCATGTTCAAATTTGCTGGATTAGGGAGGTGAGAGGCTTATATACAGATCACTAGAAACAGCATGGAGATAGTATGTGTAGGAGAGGCGGGGGACATAAAAGGGATTTAAAAATATCCCCGTGTCACTGAAACAGAATGCATCTGCCACTGCAGATTTCTTCATTACTTTTCCATGCACAAATACTACAATCTCCCTCCTTCCTCTGGAAGGGAAAGGATCAGCACTGTAAACAATAGCATGTGATCGCTGTGATGACCAGTCACAGTGATCGCATGGTACTCAGCCTCTTGGATCGGCTTAGTACAGTTGTGTCCAAAATTATTCAACCCCCACTGAAATTGAGTGTTTTGGCCAGTTTGACATTGCTTTTGATCATTCAGTCATCTTGCTTACATTTACATTAAAGAGGCACTTGTAGGTCAGACAAATATAACATAACAGTTATAATGAAATAACCACAAATGTCTTTTCTGTGCTCACAGCATTATCAGTTTTATTCAACCCCCAAGTGACATTCAATCTTAGTACTTAGTACAGCATCCTTTTACAGTTATAACAGCTTTTAAACGTGAAGCATAGCTTGACACAAGTGTCTTGCAGCGATCTACGGGTATCTTCGCCCATTCTTCATGGGCAAAGGCCTCCAGTTCAGTCACATTCTTAGGCTTGCGCACTGCAACTGCTTTCTTTAAGTCCCACCAGAGGTTCTCAATCGGATTTAAGTCTGGTGACTGCGATGGCCACTCCAAAATGTTCCAGCCTTTCCTCTGCAACCATGCTCTAGTGGACTTGGAGGTATGCTTGGGATCATTGTCCTGTTGAAAGGTCCAACGTCTCCCAAGCCTCAGGTGTGTGACGGACTGCATCACGTTTCCATCCAATATCTCCTGGTACTGAAGAGAATTCATGGTACCTTGCACACGCTGAAGCTTCCCTGTACCTGCAGAAGCAAAACAGCCCCAAAGCATGATTGACCCTCCACCATGCTTCACAGTAGGCAAGGTGTTCTTTTCATCATAGGCCTTGTTCTTCCTCCTCCAAACATAGCGTTGATCCATGGGCCCAAACAGTTCTAATTTTGTTTCATCAGTCCACAGAACACTATCCCACAACTTTTGTGGTTTGTCCACATGGCTTTTGGCATACTGCAGTCGACTCTTCTTATTCTTTGGAGACAGCAAGGGGGTACGCCTGGGAGTTCTGGCACGGAGGCCTTCATTACGCAGTGTGCGTCTTATTGTCTGGGCTGAAACTTCTGTACCCACATCTGACAAATCTTTTCTCAGTTCCTCAGCAGTCACACGGGGACTTCTCTCCACTCTACGCTTCAGGTAGCGCACAGCAGTCGAAGTCAGCATCTTCTTTCTGCCACGACCAGGTAGCGTTTCAACAGTGCCCTTTGCCTTGAATTTGCGAATGATGCTTCCTAAGGTGTCTCTTGGTATGTTTAACATCTTTGCAATCTTCTTATAGCCATTGCCCTTCCTGTGAAGAGAAATCACCTCTTCTCTTGTCTTCCTGGACCATTCTCTTGCCTTCACCATGTTTGTAACCACACCAGTAAATGTCTAGAAGGAGCTGAGTATCACAGTCATTTTAAAGCTGCCTAATTGGTGCTTATTATGCTTGATTGCTGCTCGGTGACATCCACAGGTGTTTTCAATACCTGATGGAAAGCACCTGTATGAACCTCTGTTCTTCAGAGTGGTAGTCTTTAAGGGGTTGAATAATTGTGGCAATGAAGAAACCACATAAGAACCATTTACTACTGTATTACATAAACAATTGATGTCATTTTAGTTGCATTTGGGTAGTTACAACGTCCTTGTAGGATTTGATTCTGAATACAATTCCAAATGTACACTATAGTCCCTAAACCCCTTTACAGCATTGGGGGTTGAATAATTTTGGACACAACTGTATAGTGTCTAATGATGGCTCAGTACACAGCAATTCCTAGGCAAAATGGCCACCACAGCTATTTATCCAGTGCCGTGTATAAAGAGATTAAACGTTAAACATGATCTTACGTGGTGTCCCTTTTATATTTGAATCCCCATTTTCTACTTCCTTGGTGCTTAGTGGATTGGTCATAACAAGAGAAATACTGCTGGGAGCAGCAGTGAGAAAATAGCATGAAAAGGTCATTGCATTTCTGTGTGGTCTCTGTACAACAGCAGTGCACACAACTCCCCTATACAAGAAGCCATTTTGGACAAGGAAGTGAAGGCAAATATGTGCAACTGTCTCCTTGTCAATTCCTGTGAAACTGAAAGCACAAACTATTTTATCTTTCTTCTGTAAAGTACTTATTCCCACAACCCCCCTCCTAATGGAGATGTAGAGCAGAAAACATGTCCAGGAGAGGTGACAACCTTGGTTCCCTCCATAGATACATAGAGCGAGTGTAACCACGCTTCAGCAGGAAGTCTGTTTGGGGGTGGCATCTGGCAAAACTTGCAAATATCAAAGAAACCATGCTGGAATTGAAAGTAAAGGTAACTTACTCAATCCTTGTCCGTTTGTATGAGCGGAACTGAAAGCACAAACAATGTTATCTTCCTCCTGTAAACTACTAATACCCCAACCCCATGTAATTGAAGTCAACCATGGCACCCTCCATAGATACAGTAGATGTAGTGAGTATTACCACTCTAGGACAGAAAGTGTGCTAGTCACAGTACCGGACTGGGAAAATGAAAACCAACGCAGCCACCTCATCTTAAGGTAGAACTATATGCAAAACCTTTTTTTTTTTTTTTTTTTTTTTTTTTTTTTTTACCCATTTTGGATAGAGCAAGGGAGGGTTATAACCCGTCAAATTTTTTTTTTTTTTTGCCACCTGTGTTGTCCTATTGCAGAGATTTCTCTTCACTTCCTGTTCCATAGCAAAACCAGAAGTGAGAGGAAATTCCTGCAAATTAACCACTTCCAGTCCGGACACCCCCTTCCTGTCCAGGCCAATTTTCAGCTTTCAGTGCTATCACACTTTGAATGACAATTGCGCGGTCATGCAACACTGTACCCATATGACTTTTTTAGCATTTTTTTGAGACAGATAAAGCTTTATTTTGGTGGTATTTATTCACCACTGGGATTTTTTTTTTTTTTTTTGCTTTTGTATGTAAATGGAGGTCCAAAAATTTTGAAAAAAAGTGTTTTTCTTATAAAATTTTGCAAATAGTATTTCATCATAAATCTTGGCCAAAATGTATTCCGTTATCTTTTTAGTAAAAAAAGAAATAACCCAAATTAGTTTATAATTTTTAAACTTTTTTTTTTTTACATTTTTAAAAAATTTTTTTTTATACTATTTATTTTTTTTTTTTTTTTTTTTAATATACGGTCACCCTAGCAGTACAGTGTGACCATGGTGACACTGTACTACTTGTGGGGGGTGATGAAGACTTTTTTAAAAAAAATTTTATTACACTGATTGCTTTTACACCCATAAAGGCTGTAAAAGCAATCATTTCTCCTTCTCTCTAGCTGCATTCTTGCAGCCATTGAGAACTACTGTGTGAGCTGTTATTGGTCACAGCTTGCCACATGGTAAAAGGCTGTTGTGAATAGCCTTGTATCATGTGACCATGTGATCATTCACAGATTTCACACGTAGTAAGCAATGATGTCACAAGTGACATCTTGCTTACTACTCTGCATGTGATCACTGATTGGCCATGATCGGGACCTCGCACAGAGGTCCTGTCCGACGATCGGTGTTCCACTGTGTCCGGAGGACACAGCGGGCAACGGGTTGCGGTGCTGCGTGCTCCCAGGGAGCGCACACAAGCAGGGTGCCAGGAAGCCGTTTATAAATGGCCACCCGACCCTGCACTGTCAACATCTGGTCGTTTATATACATGGGCCGGACAGAAGGTGGTTAAGGGAATTCCTTGTGTCCCTATTGGAAGATTTCCCCTCTATTACTTTTCTCGGACAACCCAAAATGTGGGGCTTTATTTTACTTTCACTTTCAATGATCATGGTAAACAGGACAAATGGAAAGGATAAATCTCTCTAACAGAAGCACTGACCGGTGTTTTAATCTCCCTCCACTCTATCCAAAACTAAAAAAGTTTTGCCTTTAGTTATACTTTAAGCTGCAAAAATATACACAATTTTTATGTTTGGGTTTAGATACTCTTTAATAATTTCTTTCTTTCACTTTGCCTTTCTGTAAAGACTGGTACAATCTTAGCAACAGCTAAAAAAAAATAGATTGTAAGCTCCCTTTCTACCTATGACTTAATAATTGGTTTGCTATACCAGAATTTGTGTTGGAGAAATGCTTTACAAGACTACACTATATTGCCAAAAGTATTGGGACACCCCTCCAAATCATTGGATTCTAATGTTTCAATCGCCTCCATAGCCACCGGTGTATAAAATCAAGCACCTAGGCATGCAGACTGCTTGTACAAACATTTATGAAAGAATGAGTCGCTCTCAGGAGCTCAGTGTGAATTCAAGTGTGGTACCTGTGATAGGTTGCCACCTGTGCAATAAGTGCATCCGTGAAATTTCCTTGCTACTAAATATTCCACGGTCAACTGTTAGTGGTATTATAACAAAGGAGAAGCAACTGGGAACAGCAGCAACTCAGCCACAAAGTGGTAGGCCATGTAAAATGACAGAGCAGGGTCAGCCCATGCTGAAGCGCACAGTGCACAGAAGTCACCAACTGTCTGCAGAGTCTATAGCTAAAGACCTCCAAACTTCGTTTGGCCTTCAGATTAGCACAGCAACAGTGCATAGAGGGTTTCATGGAATGGGTTTTCATGGCCGAGCAGCTGCATCCAAGCCTTACATCACCAAGTGCAATGCAAAGAGTCAGATGCAGTGGTGTAAAGCATGCTGCCACTGGACTCTAGAGCAGTGGAGATGCGCTCTCTGGAGTGACGAATCGCGCTTCTCTGTCTGGCAATCCGGTGGACATGTCTGGGTTTTGTGGTTGCCAGGAGAATGGTACTTGCCTGACTGCATTGTGCCAAGTGTAAAGCTTGGTGGAGGGGAGATTATGGTGTGGGGTTGTTTTTCAGGGGTTGAGCTTGGTCCCTTAGTTCCAGTGAAGGGAACTCTTAAGGCATCAGCATACCAAGACATTTTGGACAATTTCATGCTCCCAACTTTGTGTGAACAGTTTGGGGATGGCCCCTTCCATTTCCAACATCACTGTGCACCAGTGCACAAAGCAAGGTCCATAAAGACCTGTATGAGTGAGTTTGGTGTGGAGGAACTTGACTGGCCTGTACAGAGTCCTGACCTCAACCCGATAGAACACCTTTGGGCTGAATTAGAGAGGAAACTGCGAGCCAGGCCTTCTCGTCCGACATCAGTGCCTGACCACACAAATGCGCTTCTGGAATAGTGGTCAAACATTCCTATAGATAGACACCTAAACTTTGTCGACAGCCTTCCCAGAAGAGTTAAAGCTGTTAGGGCTCGTTCACACTTGACTTTATTTCTAACTCTTGCCAAACGCTCCTATAGCATTTGACAGGCGTTAGACAGGCATTTGGGAAGCGTTTTTAACGCTCCTCAAATGCTCCCCCAAATGCCCTATGCGCAGTTTTGAGGTGATTGATAGGCGTTTGCCAAGCGTTAAAACCGCACCACAAATGCCTATAATGAAGTTAAATGGTATTAACGCTCCGCAACCGCCTCGTAAACGCCTGCCAGGTGTTTGAGGAGAGGCACCAGAGACTTGAATGGGAGGCTTCAACTTCTCCTGACTGGACATGAGGTGTCAGTTTTGCCACAACGCAACACTAATGCTTCAGTGTGAACAGCACTGTGTGCTGCCATGTGCAGAATTTTCATAGGCATTTGAGAAGCGTTAAAAATGCTTTCCAAATGCCTGTCTGACACCTGCTGACAAAGCTAGTGTGAACGTAGCCTTAGAGCTGCAAAGGGTGGACCAACTTTTGGCAATATAGTGTACAGTATATTAGTTGTGGAAGACCTGTATTTTTTATTTTTTTTTTTTCCTTCATGCCCGAGAAAAGTTACAGTAATTTTACTATTGTATATACGTTATTTATATTCATCTGCTTCTTTGTGTTTATTTTACTGTTCTTTGCATGAAATTCCCAAACATGACTAATAAATTGAACAGAGTACAGATTAAGGAACACAAATCAAAGCATTTGATCATTTGCCTAACAATGGTTTGAACGGGTCCACATTTGTGTTATAAGTCCAAGAACTAGGCTGAATTGTACATTAAAGTGTATCTGAGAAGTTGCCATGACGGACTTCAAAAATTTCTCAATAATTCCGTGTCCTAATAGAAAGGCTGGGGACAGGCTGATTTATTTCTCATTATCATACAATGGAAAAGCCCAGCTTCTAGACCTTTGTTAGGACAGGCTGTGTTCAAATCTAGTTTGCAACTGATGAGATATAATGGTTTGCCAGCCCAGTATAGACATGGTTACTTACGGAAACACAACTCCCCAACCCCCTTTATAAACAAAGAAATAATTTTTTTTTTTTTTTTTTTTTTTTTTTTTTTTTTTTTGGTTGCTGCAGTTTCCAGAGGACATTTTAAAAATGTGAGTTGTCATTTTTGAATATTTTTAGTTATGCTATGTGAATGGAAACCCGTAACAAAAAGTAGGTGTTTTTCCACTTTGGCTGCAAATGTGGAAATGCACTTTAAGGTTAAACACTGTCCATACACAGCACCAAATCTTCTTAAACTATATCTAAACCCAGAAACAAATGTGGTACATTTGAACAATTCCAGTCCTTTGATGTGTTTTTTTTAGTTTTTGCAGGCTTTTTTCTTTATATTTTACCTTGTAATCCTTTAGTCTATAGCTACACTCTGGTTACACTCACTTCACCCCTGTATCTATTAAGTGAGCCATGGTTGCCACCTAAGCTGGAATTCAAAACATATCTGCCCTTGTTCATTTTCAATACTTTGAGGGTGGGGAGAAACAAATATCTCTACCTCTACACGCTTATTACAATTGTAAGTCACGATAAATAACTGCTCTGTCCAAAAATGGACTGTTCTATATACAAATTAATTCTACGCAAAGAGGGATGAGAAGAAGGTCACAGATGAACTCTACGCATTTCGCAGCCCAAGTTGCTTCATCAGGAACAGTACATATCAGAATCTATATTTCAATCTACAAAACAAAAAACAGTAAACGTATGCAATAGCAGAGTGTAACAAAATAAATACATATACACCCCACATTTGTTTTTCTTTACCACTTCATATTTTCTTACCTAAGATGCGTGTAGTTTTACAGGCGTAACACCCAGCCCTCAACCTTGTACCATCCCTAACGTGAGATCACTGGAGCATACTGGGACAGGCCGGCCGGCCATCACTTCACTAACCTCCAACATTTCTAGCATTCCTACATGGTGGTATAAATATATATAGTATTTCAGCAAAATACTCTGATACTGTATGTACATCCCTAAATATAATATCACCACAAGTACTTCGTAATACCTCTGGAGTCAATAATGACTAACAATGTATAAATCAAATACACAGTACATTAATAGCTTAACCCCTAAATAAAAAAGATCTCCGTTTAGCTCATAGCACGTGACTTTTACACTGGATTTCTGGCAAGATCAAGAGGTATTTTCTGTACTTACTAAAAATGTTCTTAGCCTGAAAAAGGAAAACTAATACAGCTGCCACAAATAAAGATTGGGTGAGCTGTTATATCTTAAATGTTTGGGTTTGGTTATCCACTAAAATTTAGGAAATATTTGTTAACAATGACGCCTTTGCACACAGGCTCTTAAAAAGCACCGCATATTCTTCAGTAAAAAAAGGAAAATATATGCGAATACGCATATATGGGCAGAACTGTTAATGAATTTTCCCTAAGAATATATTGTGTTGCAAATGCACATATGTGTGCAAATATGCACATAAATGCATGCAAATACGCCCAAAACCAGTACCATTTAAAAAAAAAAAAAAAAAAAAAGTAGATGCTCAAACATCATTACCACGTGAAGAGGCCTTAGTGGAACTTGCATAATATTGTAGCTAGATGGGCAACAGGCCACAGGTAGAGTGTACATACAATATGAAAGTCACTGAAGTAATATCCTTGAGAAAGATGTGACCTATATAATTGTTTCCAAGTTGAATGTGTTTGACAGTTGCTACATTCTTAGTCCCAGTTAAGAATATAGTTTTTGTGCGAAAGCACATTCCTTATTTAGACGAAGATTAAACCTGTACAGGGCAGTCTCATGTAAAATATTTCATATGAAATATTTGCTGCAAGCAAACGTATTTCTTTTGAATTTTTGCTATCTTATGGACCAGTTATGTAGTTTTGTTCAGGGTCACAATAGTAAATGGGACTTGAAGCCATGTGGCAATGCAGGGGTTACGTGCGGTTAATATGGGACTTGAAGCCATGTGGCAATGCAGGGGTTACATGCGGTTAATACCCGCATGTAAGTGTACCTCTGAGAGATGTAGCTCAGAGGAGAGGAATCTGTCTGTGCTGTGGGAACGCCTTGCCTGTGTGTATGCTTGAATGGAATTTGTAATGTATCAAGTAAAGGACAAGTTGAGGCAGGTTCTACTGAAGGAGAGATACAGATGATGTAGGACAGTTTCATATCAGTGACTCCAATCTTATTAGGATTCATACCAGGGTCACTATATACTGTTGTGTGTTTTAATAAATATAAAGCTTATCAAATCAGTCCACAATCCTGTAGATTAGCACCTTTTTGTGTGTAATGTCGCCCCATTTAGAACTGTACAGTAATAAAAAGTAAAATATAGTACTAGACCTCAAGCAAAACTCAGTTTTAATGTAAAATACACGTTGTTTTCAATGGAAAACAAGGTTTACTCTCTCGCCAAGTGCTTGGTAAAAATTATAAGAATGTTAGGATTAACCTCAGCGATATATCAGCAAGGCCCCTGGCAGAGTTTAGATATGAAGGTCACCCAAGGTGAATCCATATTTCCTTGATTATCACTAGGGGCTATGTTATTCCTTATAAAACAAAAGCTTTGGTAGACTTAAGACTAACGAACCTATATACCTGGGTAAATTCTTAGGTAAAGTTAGTCAATTGGCAGTACCAAAGACCACATTCATCTTTTTATGCTCTAGTCTTTTTCAGGCAGATAATCTCTCACAAGTGAGTAGTTATTAATCAAAGCACAGAATAGTAAGAAGGCAAAAATTAAATCTCTACTCTCAGGTTAAACAGCTATAGGTGATGACAGTAGGCAGAGTAGAACTTTGGAAACATCAAGACCTCCTATTAATTTCGTTGTTACCACTATTGTGCTAACTGGTTTGAGCAGTGCTGATGCCTTGCTGGCACAGTTTGATTCTTTTAGATATAAATACGACACACTTGAGCTGACAGTACGAAGTGAGGTCTCCTCAAGCCTGACACAAATGTGAGTCACTCTGTCACTGGGATGGTGAACAGTCCTCTATACACAACAATGTTGTCATTGTCTAACCTTGCAAACCTACAAACAGACACTTGTAATATATCTGTACCATTAATTAAACATTCTATCATAGCTTGGCCATACACATATACAGTAGATTTCTTTTGGTCTGTCAGCTGGCTGAACAACATAAATCTAAAGCTGGCCATAGATGGATACAAATTTCAAACAAAATGTCCTATCAAAAGACTTTGGAAAATTTGTAGGAAAATTCTCAGAACTTTGGAATGTTTGATAGATATTTTTTTCTTTTTTTGCTTTAACTTTTGATTTTGGCATGAATGGACTTTACCGGACGAAAATCATACATTTTTAGAAATTTAGGAAAATTTAAAGGAGTGGGATGGAAACAAATGTCAATTTGACCCACTAATGATTAGATAAATTAATGA